AGACCTGATAGACTATGGTCAGATGGACGGGGAGGAAAACCTCCCCTATCATTGGACTGGGGGAGGGGCATAGAAGAAGAGGGAGGGAGGGTGGGATTGGGAGGGGATGGGTGAGGGGGCTATAGCTGGGATACCAAATAAATAAACTGTAAATAATAAAATTTTAAAAAGTAAAAAAAAAAAGCACATGCAGGACTATGTTCTTTATTCCTGTCATTTCCACCAATTTTAAGAATAGCAAAATTAGTAAAAGACATTAATAAACTAATACAAACGCATATGAACAAAGGTATGCCTAAATTCAAAATGGCAATTAAAACAGTACTTCAGCTTTCAACACGCACAAAAAACAAACTTCAAAGAGTCTGATAGTATCTCGTGTTAGTGAAGATGCAGGAAAAAGCTGTGTTCCAGCGTGGGTGTGGGAAAGAACAGGCTGTTCGGATGTCCTGGAGGGCACTGTCACAGGACCTATCAAAAGTGCACATGATTTCTAACTCAGTAATTCTGCAGTGTTCAGGACGGACAGCATTCAGAGCCATACTCACGGAGGTTTATTTATTTATACTCATGTAGGGTGCTTACCGTTACATAATTTATTAACAGTAACATGTATGCAAGCAAGCTCCTTACAAGAGAATATCCTAGCCGAGTAACTAGTACATTTATTCTGTTCATACAAGTGAAGAGACAAGCGGGCAGCAAAAATGTATTAACTAAGTAAGAACTGATGTCAAAAGACATAAAGCCAGTTTTTCACGTTTTGAACAGTTCTGCAGTGTGGGTCTGCAGAGCCTCAGCATACATCTCCCTGGAGGAGTACGTCGGAGGTGCTTTAAAGTTCTCTGCATGTCTTACGTCACACTCTCAGCATTCACTGCAGCCACAGGGTGGATGAGGATGCTGCCTCCTGCCGTGTTCTTCACTGTCTTCCTGTGGAAGAGGCATCTGCAAGGGCTCCTTTCTGTGTTATTTCTCAGCTTGGTGCAGCCTCAGTGGTGCAACTAATTATGAGTTTATATCCCAAACCTGTCTGAGGTCTATGAATAATCTGGGGACTTGAGTACTCCTTTCATATTTCATTCTTTTTAACTGACAGTGGTAGGAGTCTTGTGCTTCTAACAGTGAATGGAGCTAACGTGAAGAAGCCAACTTGCTCTCTCTTCGTGCTGCCTTCAGCTGATGTCCTTTCCCTTAGGTCAAACCTTCCACTATGTCACCCAGGAAGGAAGCTTTCTGAGGTTTCTAGTTCCTCCCCCTGCCCTGCGCATGGTCACCGCTGTATACCTGCACGACTGTAAGAACTGAAGCATCTTGGCCTGACTGCCAGGAAACATCCCAGTTCTTGGGAGGCAGAGGCAGGTGGATCTCTGAGTTTGAGGCCACCCTGATCTACAGAGCAAGTTCCAGCTTCAGGCAGTGCTACCCAGAGAAATCTTGTCTCAAAACAAAACAAAACATACACACACACACACACACAGAGAGAGAGAGAGAGAGAGAGAGAGAGAGAGAGAGAGAGAGAGAGAG